AATCATAAAATAATAATAATAATAATAATAATAATAATAATAATAATAATAATATTATTTTTATTATTATTATTATTATTTTATTCACATAATAATTCTTTTACATATTTATATTAAAAAGTAAAGTTAGTTGGACCTTATAATGAAAAGTTAACTAAAATGTAAGCCTTAAAGTGAGAATAACCTAAAATATAAGCCTTCTATTGAAAAAGTAAAAAATTCAGGCCTTAGATTAATACAAATAATAAAAGTTAGGCCTTCTAGTAGAATTTCCCCTTTGCTTAGGCGTCTTCTTTTGGGCTATATATATATGGGCTTTTATTGGATTTTATTTTAATATATGGAGCCCAATATATGTTTGATTGGAGAACCAAAATAGGAGGCCCTTTTAATATGGACTCTAATGGAGGGCGGTTTGTCTTCTGAGAAAATTATTAGGTCTGTTGATATAAAAATTGCTGTTTATTTACATATGAAATTTTTAGTTGCAAATTAAAGATACTAAATGACTATAAATGATTCATTTGTGATTTATTGTTCTCACTTGTCATTGTTGGTTTTTTAAATTACATTTATTTTTTAGTTTATAACCCGTTTACGAATGATTTGTATATAATTTAATTTTGAATCTCGTATTTTTACAAAAAGAATAATAATAAATAAAAAAAATATAATGAATATGTAAAAAAAGCCATATATTTTCCTTATTTTCATGGCACTTAATTTTCTCATCAACTGTTATTACCTCACACTTACTTATAATTCGTTTTTTAAGTACAAGAGTTATATATTTCTATTAAAAATAAATAAATCTTCGGGTCAATACAATAACATTAGTTAACATGTCCTTTTCGGATTATTCAAACAATAACATTAGTTAACACGTCTTTATTCACATCATCAATACAATAAAACAAGTGGAACGAGTTGTAGCTTTTGTAATCAAGCCGAGTCAAATCCTGCTGCCATGGATGGAATACTCTGTTCATTCCTAAAGAAATTATGCGGGTCAACTTCGGTTTTGACCCGAACAAGCCTGTCGAAATTTCGGTCGAAATACTTCCGACCCCAAACACTCGCTCGAGCATGGCTAGATTTTCCTCCATTTTTTCCTATGTCGAGATCTCTATAGTTAACGTACGCCCTTCTTGGCGAGCTCGAAACGTATGGAGATATATAATCGTAAAGCCTCGTGATCCAGTCGATGTACTGACCTGCATTTTCCGTGTCGTGTTCTGCCCAATACACGGCGTAATGTAGACTGTACAAATTCCCGGCCCTATGCGGAAACGGAGTCCACGACTCGGAAAACTCGTCCATCGCCCCACCGTACGGCACCATGATGATGCTTGCCTTCTCCCCTTCGGGCTCGTAAAATAGTCTCAAAAGGCCCTCGATCCCTTGTTTCGGGACAGGCCTCTGAACGTAGTCCGATTTTCCCTTGAAGTATCTTACATTGGGTTGAGCCCGATCGAGTAGAGCCTCGCGCGATTCTATCGGAATGCCCGCGAAGTAAAGCACAGACTCGATCCAGCTCATCTCGGTGCAATCTTCCCTCGTCAACCCTAGCTCGGAGAATTTTTCTTGCATCATCGAAATCAACCTCTCGGTGCCTCCGAAGAAAATCGAATTGAACCAAGCGCGGATCGTGAAATTCCGACCCAATTGATCCCTTTCGATAAATACTCGGATGAACAAATCTCGGTCGATTGCATTGGCGACGCTCTGCCATCGTTGCACGAGTCGAGTCACGTTCTTCTCAAGAGTTCGCCCGATCGTGAAGACGGTGACTCGTTCGGGGACCTCCACGAGGCGTACTTTCCACGCGAGGATCACACCAAAACTCGCGCCCCCGCCACCACGAATGGCCCAAAAAAGATCCTCGCCCATCGAGCGTCGGTCGAGAATTCGACCATTCGCATCCACTATTCTTGCATCGATTACGTTGTCAGCCGCCAAGCCGTGTTTTCGTATCATGTTGCCGTAGCCGCCTCCGCTGAAATGCCCGCCGACGCCGACACTCGGGCAAATGCCAGCGGGAAAACCGAGGGTCGAGCTTCGTTCGGCGATTTTGTAGTATAAGGAGCCGAGGGTCGAGCCCGATTGGACCCACGCGGTTTTTTTCTCGAGATTGACGGTTACTTCACTAAGGTTGATTAAGTCGAGGATTACGAAATTAGGGTTTTGAGATACGTAGGATAGGCCTTCGTAGTCGTGGCCCGCGCTTCGGGTTCGGATCTCGATGCCTTCTTTCTTGGCGCAATGGACGACGGGCGGGACTTGGGACTCGTGCTCGGGGGTTATGATCACACGTGGTTGTGGTGTGGAGCGCGAAGTGAATCTAAGGTTTTGAATGGAAAATCGAAGAATGGACAAGTAGGATGAGTTGTTTCGAGTGTAAGTCACGCTGGAAATCGAGTCGTGGAAATTTTCAAGGCACTCGAGAAAAACATCGTGATCGTTATCAACGTAAGCTGATGACGAGCATGAAAATACAAAAAGAAAAATGAGGGATAAATGGAAATTGAATGTAGTTTTCTTCATCATCTATAAATGCGAGCTTATAGTATAGTGCACAAAATTTGTGTTTGTGTTTTTCAAAACAGGGAAGGTATATGGAATTGAGTTGTGTTTAAACTATTTAAGTTTCAAGTTTTTGGATGTGACGGGTTCAATGAATAAAGCGTGAAGTTTAAATAATTTTGAACGTGTTTATCGTTTGGAAAAAAAAAAAATATATTTTGAACGTGAAATGTATTTTATCATCAAGGCAGGGAGAAACATAAATTATTGGTGCTAAAATATCTATATAGCAGAGGGCTGCACAATTATTGGTGCTAAAATATCTATAAATTATTGGTGCACAATTACAGAATTTTTTACCAGATATTAAAAAAAAAAATTAAGTTGTGGAAAAAAAAATGCACAAATAAATGAGAGTGGACCAAAATAAAAACCCCGTATTCAGTGAATATGTTTTACCATTTTTTTAATTGTAAAATGTATTCATGGAAAAAACTGATTTTATGATAATAGTGGACGAATCGAGGACGAAAAAAATAAGTCCAGCAGGTGTCAGCCGAGGTGTCGTCCGAAGTGTCATGACACCCGGCAGGTATGAAAATAAAAATTTTGAATTTTTTTGCTTTAACTCCTTGTTTTGTGATGCTTCAGGCAGGGATTTAGGTCCTCCGAGTAGCCTTCAATTTGTTTGGTTTGAAGACCATGAAAAGGTGTACGTGGAACTTCATAAACGCTTTATAGATGCCGTATGGGAAGCGGATAGGCTCGAGAAGGAGAACAATAAGTTAAATGATGAGAATAAGAGGATGAAGTCAGAGGCTAAAAAGTTGGACGAGGAGAATGATGCATTAAAATCAACCATAACCCAATTGGAGGTGACCATCTCTGGTCATGACCAAAAGTTGGTGAAGGTAAGAGAGGAACTTGAATACTCCCGTCAAACCTTCCAACGACTTAACACCGGTAAGAGCCAATTGGATGTCCTAGCTGCTCTTGAACATAATCATAAGAAAGCAGGACTTGGTTTTAAGCCTACTATATTTGTTCGTCCATCGGAGGAAACATGTGAGTCTTTTTCAAAATCTACGCCCAAGGTTTTTAAGAATATTAAACAACGAAGGCGTAGATATGTGTGTCATTATTGTCATGCACCCGGGCACATTAGACCTTATTGTTATAAATTGCATTCATTTGATAGGTCTTTTGAACCTGTGGTGCCTCCCGTATCACGTAATATGTTAAAAAATCACGGAAGTAGGACTAAAGAAAAATTTGTTTGGGTACCAAAATCTGAGTTGAAATGCAATGTAATTCATACCTCTTTGAAGTCTAATATTGCAGGATCCTGGTACTTTGATAGCGGGTGTTCGAGACACATGACTGGCACTCGTGAGTTCTTGTCCAATGTAGAACCTTATGAAGGTGGGCGTGTTACATATGGGGGAGGTGAACATGGAAAGATTATTGGACGTGGGACGCTCAATGTTGAAGGCCTCCCAGAGCTTCGGAATGTGTTGTTGGTTGATGGACTTAAGGCTAACTTGATTAGCATAAGCCAACTTTGTGATAATAATCTTCATGTTAAATTTGATAGTAAATCTTCTGAAGTTTTTGATGAGTCTAATTCATGTATTTTGATGAGTCTAATATGGAACCTATAGTGCCAGAGAAAAAAAAAAAGAGTTCACTTAAAGGTCTCAACTATGTTCGACAAATTAAGCGCGATTTTTTTCTCAACGTTTTGTTGTTGTTGTTTGTTGTTTAAATGCAGCTGATTCGGTTGGAAAGCAGAGTCAACGCAAGAGGAGAGTACTTCCCGACATCTATGGCTCGGAGATTTTCCTGTCCGGATTGGCTCCCCACCCGACTAACCCTTACTTCGTGACCAAAATCAACCCGAAGCGCAGGAGTGAATTCGTAAGAACATCTAATTGATAGTTACATCGATTCAAGATACTACTGATTTTTATTCATGGTACATAAACACATAACATTTTATCCAAAATCACTTTAGTTCTTGTGGTTTAGTTCACATGTAAGAACCAATAATATTTGACAGGCCTGTAAACGAGCCGAGTCGAGCTCGAGCTTAGGTGCTAGAGCTCGAGCTCGAGTCCAGCCTTAAATCTCGAGCTTTAACGAGTCAAACTATAACACAATAGATAAAATTCTCTTTTCGAGCCTTATCAGCCAAATGAGCTTTAAATTAGCTCGTACTCAGCTCGTTTAAGCCAAAACCGACTTGTTTAATTTAACAACATACACTTCTCACATATCTTATGTATGACACATAACAATTTGTGTTTTTCAAATGTGTACGATTTCTCGACACTAAAACTTGATTGTTTGCGTACGAAAGTACATCCCGAAGCAGTTGTTGCGCCACGGAAACATCGAACTTGCAGAAAAATCATATTCGAAGATCCGAGCGGGAGGCAGTGGATCGGCAATTGCCAGACGTGGAATAACGACCGAGTTTTCTACACAAAGGGATGGAGACAACTTTGTGAGTGTAACTCTGTACAAGACGATGATTTGTGCATATGTGAGTTCACTAAGGATGAAGATGGGACTAACTTCATAAATGTTAGTTTTGTCCGTGGTTGTTATTAGGTGATGATGTTAAAGTAATTAGTACTTTTTACTATGATTATTATTTTAAATAAGAACAGCCATGAACATTAGAACATCATGTTGATTGGAATCAAATAAGAAAGATTTTTATTTTTAATTTTAATTTTTGGTGCATTTGCTTAGGCGTCTTCTTTTGGGCTATATATATGGGCTTTTATTGGATTTTATTTTGTACTTATTATGCTGCTTAATATATGGAGCCCAATATATGTTTGATTGGAGAACCAAAATAGGAGGCCCTTTTAAAATGGACTCTAATGGAGGGCGGTATGTCTTCTGAGAAAATTAGGTCTGTTGACCTACAAATTGCTGTTTATTTACATATTTATGAAATTTTTAGTTGCAAATTAAAGATACTAAATTACTATAAATGATTCATTTGTGATTTATTGTTGTCACTTGTCATTGTTGGTTTTTTAAATTACATTATTTTTTAGTTTATAACCCGTTTACAATGATTTGTATATAATTTATTTTTATTTATTTATTTATTTTTTTTTTGGTACAGGGACCTTCCGGTTTCCGGATCCACATGGGAACCGACTAATTCAGAATCGAGCCGAGTAGGACCACAAGGAAAGCAAAGCTCTCCCTCAAGAGTTTTAACATTGTTGCATTCCCAGGTCTCGAACACGAGACCATTGGTTAAGCTGGAAGAGACCCAAGCCATCTCATCCAAGCGGCTCTTGGATATATATAATTTAATTTTGAATCTCGTATTTTTACAAAAAGAATAATAATAAATTAAAAAAATATAATGAATATGTAAAAAAAGCCATAGATTTTCCCTATTTTCATGGAACTTAATTTTCTCATCAAGTGTAATTACCGCACTTTTACTTTTAATTCGTTTTTTTAAGTACAAGAGTTTTATATTTTTTATTAAAAATAAATAAATTTTCGGGTCAATACAATAACATTAGTTAACATGTCCTTTTCGGATCAATTGTCGATATTCAAACAATAACATTAGTTAACACGTCTTTATTCACATCATCAACACAATAAAACAAGTGTAACGAGTTGTAGCTTTTGTAATCAAGCCGAGTCAAATCCTGCTGCCATGGATGGAATACTCTGTTCATTCCTAAAGAAATTATGCGGGTCAACTTCGGTTTTGACCCGAA